CCCCAAAACCCCAAAACCCCAAAACCCCGGAGAGAGAGAGAGAGTCAGATGCAGTGCTTTTTCATAACGATTGAATTAATAATTAATTAATAATTGCTAATGCACGGAAGAACTTACATCGAGAAGGACATCGGACTTGACCTATACAGGAAAAAGTATATATCAATCTTAAAGCTAACTGATCATTAAGCTTTATAGATGTATGGAGATGCATCAGAAAAAGTTACTGGATATTAAGTCTAAGAACACTAAAATAGAATCTAAGAGAATAGAGGACATCTTGCATAGAAAACATGAAGAAAAGATAAGAAACTTTGAATTCATGAAATAAGGTAGCATAATTTATTGAATAAAATGTAACCTCTTGTTTAGAAAAGGAATTAGAAGTTAATAGAAACAATAAAAAGCTATTGGAGAAGCTAGTAGAGATATCAAAGGGAAAACATGTAAGTCAATATCCATACAAAAATAACAATCAATATGTCAATTCGCTTTGCAAATCAAATTTGATAGTAAATGATTTTATAGTTAGGAGTAGAAACACTGACCCCAGTAAATCACAGCTTGGGGACAAGCAGCATGTTCAGACCTAAATCTTTGAATATCGTGTCTAGGAAGAAGGAAAGCTAGAAAATAGAAGAGGACAATTTCAAGTTTGCGAAACGACTGTTTGAGTCGCATGGCCTTATATCAGTTAAGGAAATGAAGGAGTAATTTAAGGAGCATGTCAAGATTAAAAAGCATGTCAGGAAATTGAATGGCAAGATGTAAGAATTTTGAGAATTTATTCGTGTGATTATAGTGATAAAGATGGTAAAAAGCAGAGGCATGGATTGCTTCCTCCAATAAATTCTTCAGCTCAGAAAAATAAATCGATTGCTCAAAATGATGACACACACAAATCTCAACCAAATATTGGCACCAACGAAAATGTTACTACTGAACTTAGTTAATCAAATGCAACTGGCACAATGAGTAATAACAACGTTATAGCATAAAATCCTATAACCTTAGAGAAGAAACTGCCAGTACCCTAATCTTAAGATGTACAGTAAATGCCTGATAATATCTCGCCATTAATCACTTCTGATTAAAATTAAGCTGATCATCAACAGTAAAGTAAAATAGTCTCTGTATCTAATGACTATGAAATCTAGCCTCTAGCTCAAAAGCAAACTCAATGATGATCTTAATTATGAAAGAAATAGTTTTAAAAGTCTATCTGTCTGAATGGCCCAACTATCTTGTCTTTCTTTCTTATTTTACAACCAGAGATAATTGTGAAGATTAATATTTATTTAACTTATAAAATAATTATTAAGTTAATTTATTTCGCGAAATTAAATAAAAGTCCAGGAATGGGAAATTGCACGGGTGCCTAAAACGCTGATCTAAACAATGAATTCAACAACAAGTACCTACTAATTTTAAACATTTCCCTCAATTCAATAACTTTAATATAGATTATTGATAAAAACATCAACGTGGGTGAGAGATTCGCATGAATTATTTGACTATGAGAGTCCAAACTTGATGAAAAGAACATTCAAACTCATCAATACAAGTAAGATTTCCTAATAAATTTTCCAAAGTCAAATTCAACTTAAGATTATTTAAATTGCCAATCTCATTCAATGTTTTTAGGCGATATCAAAAGAGAAGAAAATGATATCAGTATAATAAACAGACAGGATAAAAAGCCTGTTGTAAAAGATTGGAGCAAAGAAAACCCTGAAGAGTAAAAACAAGGCAACTTATCAAATCATATTATTAGTTTTGTATAGTAACAAAAAGGTAAAAAATAAATCCTCAATGCTAATCTTTTAATCTTACAGGTCAATACAGTTTATTCGATCAAGAACATCGATTTGACAACTTGACTCATCATTCCTATTTGTTATCTAATGGCTAGAATATGTCTGTTAAGAATGACTCAAGAGGCATGTAGTCTCTAATAACTAAGAGCGAAGATACTGATCAAGATTTAAATAAATTATGGTTTATTGTAAGGTACATGACGGTCGAGAACAAGACAAATCACTTTAAACTTATTGGAGGAGAGACAATCAAGCTGGGAAGAGTCAAGCTAACTGTGAGAGAAGTGCATTTGGGCGAGGATGAAAACCAGACTGACTATTGCGATAGTTTTGAGAATTAGTCTCATAATATGAATGACAGTATTTCTGTTCGGGATTAACAAGTAAGAGGACCTGAATCTATGATGCCAATTCAAAGAGCTATGAGAAATATAGAGCATTTTCACTCTTATGAAAACTTGAATGACAACTCTATTGCTTAGCATGATATATTAGAAGAGGAGAAAGTAATTGACAATTATTCCATTAATGACAGTGGGTCAGGAAATATTAATAATCAAATCAGAGGTACAAGATCCCGAGTTGCAAATTCACTTAGAAGATCCAGATTAATTGAAGATACACTAATTTGCCTTAGTTAAGAAGAATAAAGAATCAGAGATAACTTAATGGGCTTTAATGTTAATTAGGAGTATCAGGGTGATCAAAGTTAGGAGGAAGATATCGAAAATGATTTGATGAAGCATTAGCAGCTGATGATTCATGAAGATCTAGAAGTTTCTAGAGCATCTATTAGAGACTAGGACGAGCTCCATAAAACTATGTTAACTAACCAAAACAATCAAAGTGAAAACTAAAATCTGTGCCGTATCTGCTTTTCGGAACTCTATACAGAAGAAAACCCACTCATTAGTCCATGCAAGTGCTCAGGATCTATGAAACATATTCATCTTGAATGCTTAAGAATTTGGCTCTCAAGAAAAGAAAACGTGAAAAATTCTGCCTTTGTAACGAGCTACAGCTGGAAAGCTTTCCACTGTGAGCTTTGCAAAAGTGAGTATAATGATAGAATCATGGTAGACCATAAAGAATTCTGGCTATTTGAAATCCAAAAACCCAAAGCCAATTACATCATATTAGAATCTGTATAGATGTAAAATAGTCAGCCAAATAATAACCATAATAACAACAATAACTCTAATAACTATAACTACTAATCTAAGACTTTACATATTTTGAACTTAAATCAGAAAAATATCATTAAGATTGGCAGAGGTCATGATGTTGATTTGAGAGTGGCTGATATTTCAGTATCTAGATGTCATGCTTACATTAAGAAAGACCCTAAAGGCTATTTCTACTTAGAAGACAATTAATCCAAATTTGGTACTTTAGTATTGATAAAAGCTCCAATCCTTTTGAATGAATAAATCACCTACTATATTCAAGCTGGCAGAACTATAATGAAACTAAATGTGCAACATGAATGGAGCCTTTTGAATGGTATCATTAGAAACAATAAAAGATCTACATCTTAGGGTGTTAAAAAATAGCCTTAGATTAGATCTGAGATGGATATAAAATCTTGCCAATAAAATAAAAACAAGCAAGCCAGTAATATAATTAATGATTTTTTCTTCGACAATATTGGAAAGTATTGCAGTCATGATGCTTCAAAACTTATTGATTTAGTAAAATAACTTCAAATAAAGGAGTGTTTAACAAGTTAATCTAAAGATGAACAAGAAAATGTTAATGACACAAGTGTGGGTGAGATAATACCAGAGGAAAAAGGAGATGTAAACCAATATGAGGGTATTCAATTATTAAATAAAGACAAATAGCAGATTTTTAGCCCAAGCAGAAATTTAAATGGCAAAATTCAGGAAATAAAAACTAACAGCTTCAAGATAAAGTTAACTACTTTGAAGGATTAATATTCGAATGAGAAAATCATTAGCATCTCTAACTATCTTAGCAACTTAAAATCACCTAATGAAAATTAAGAAGTTTCAGAGGAATAAAAATCCCAGAGATCTAGACAACCTTTTGTTTCTCCCTCACCTTTTAGGAGATAGATAGATGTATCAGATGAACTTTAGCTTTCAAACATTAAAAGCTCTAATTATATACTTAAAACTCCTTAAATGCTAGAATATGCTGATGAGCCTATACTTATTAATCACATTTCAGCAAAATCAATACCATCCTCATCATTTAACAAAATATCAAAGCAAAAGTAGCTTAAGCAGATAATCTTAAATGAATTAAATAGCAATAATCAACAATCTAAGAATATTGCTAATAAATAGTAATAAAAACCAGAAATCACAAATAATAGATGTTCAATGCCGGTCTAGCCTAAATCATTAAGGCCTAGTTTAACCCAAGAAAATATGACTAAAGGATATATAAGTAGGCCAAAATAATAGATTCTGGTAGATAGCAGTATTTGTAGGAAAAGTCCAAGAATTAAAGCTATTTAAGTTCAATAATAAAACATTGCTTGTAAAAATAACAATGAAGATCTCAAATTGATAGACGAAACTAAATAAGGATTGATTTTTAATGAATACAAAAGCAAGTATCAAGTTTTAAACCTTCAGGTGCCTTAAATCAACAGTAAAATGTCTTAGAGTAGCAAAAATAGTCAAAAATTGACACCTAAGATTGGAGGAATCAAAAGTCAAGCTAGATTTATCCTGCCTCCTGATCAACTAATCACTCATCCAAGCAGTGTCAAGAGTTAGAGTAAGAATAATCATAAATACACCAAGTCATCACACTTTATTGCAACTTAAAAGAACAAATTGGCATGACTAAAATTTTCATTTAAGATATAATTCCTTTAAAATTAAGAATTCCTTAATACGGGGTTTTGGGGTTTTGGGGTTTTGGGGTTTTGGGGTTTTGGGG